TTTTTTTTTTTTTTTTTTATGCGGAGTGTGCACACCCAGGTGTTGAATCCGGGTGTGCACACATCATTTTCCTTAAATATCATAACTAATTAATGAAGAAAGAAAGGTTATAAACTAATAAAATTATAGATACAACGAGTAACCTTAACAAAATAAAAGGTGGCTAGGTAAGAATCCATTCTTCTTTTTTTTTTTTTTTTAAATAGCTAGCTTCATTATTTTTAAATTTTTTTAGAAGGCCTGGGCTAAAAAGTAATATACACACAACTTATTTATACAACTTTTATTCACAGTTTTTATGTATTATTAAATAAATAAATACATAAAATATTTATGGGTCCAAAATTATAGTTTTCCTTTATTAGACGTGTAAGGCATTGATATCATATTAATTATAAAATTATTATTTCCTTTCATTAATTTTATTTCTAAAATTGAATTTATTAATTTCAAATTAATTTCATTCTCTAACTTGTAATAATAATTTAATTTTAAATTAATTTTATTTTTTTAAATTGATTCAAATTATATTTAAATTAACTTAAAATTTTTCATATATTAATAGAAATTTGGCTTTAAGTAAATTTGCAGATTAATTATTGGATAATTGCAAACAACCTTTCTATATAATTTTTATTTACAATTTTTATATATTATTAAATTTGTAAATACATACAATATCACAAGTTTTTATAGAGTGAAGAGAGCCACTCATTAAGTAACATGTGAAGTTATATGAAAAATTGTATAAAAAAATTATTTCTTAATATTTTTTTATTATTATAGGATTTTTTAATCTATATCTTTAGCGGTGTAATTAATACACATTTTTAACATTAATTTATATTGAAAATGATAAAACTTGATACTCTATCAATTCAAATTTAATAGTTCTAATTTGACTTTTTCACTTTTTAAATATGAATTTCATATGAAAATTGAACAAAATATATGAACAACAATTGAAAATTATTTTCCCTAGATATAGTTATTGTTGAGTATTTTTATTTGATTAAAAAAATTAATTATTATTTATATAATACAATTTTCATTTGAAATCACATTTAAAAAATTAAAAAATTAAATTAAGACTACTAAAGTTGAAAGGAGATAGTAGTAATTTTCTAATACTAATTAATGTTAAAAAGGTAATTTTAAGAGTGCAAGTTAAAAAAATATTATTATATTATCTATAAATTAAATAAATATAAATAATTGAATAAAAATAAAAAATGTAAAAATGTAAAAAAAAAAAAAAAGGAAAAAAAAGGAAAAAGAACCAATTGGGTTTGACTGAGTTTTTATGGAAGTTGATCAGGTTTGGTCAAGTTTGACTCTCTGATGGCTTTTTACTCCTCTCAGGTTAACTGAAATTATTTTTAGAATTAATTCTGGTCAAATCCACTGTAAGAGTCCGACTGTTACTTTTTTTTTTTTTTTTCAATTTGAGAATGATGACTTATATAAAATAAAATATTTTTTTAAAATTTTTTCTCGTTTTACTTAACATTTGAAATTAAAAATTAAAAATTTTAAAATTTTAAATTTTAATTATTAAACCACCTCTTCAAACTAAAACACTACTACCATTATTGTTGTTATCTTAATTATTCATTTATATATATATATATTTGGTATTAATCTCTCAGTATTATAATCATATTAAATTTTGATTAATTTAAAATCAAATCATGTCGAATTTATAAGAGAAAGCTTTTCTAACATTTATTTTTCTATTCACAAAACTTGAATTTAAAATTTTATTTAAAAAGAATCAAGTTCTTTCTATTTCAACCAACAAGTAATTGATTTTATTCATTTATATGGTTATACGCGATTGAAATATTAATTTTTTTCACAAAAATCCCTAGGTTTGGG